AGCCCATACTGGGAGCTAAATATCTTCTGTTGCTACACATTTTGTCTGGAGAAACCAAGCCCTTTATATTTTTGTAGGCCCAGCAAGAGAAAAATCAGTAAGTGTAGATTCAGTGGCCACAAATCAAGTGCCTACCACGGGCCAGACATGTCGCATTCTCTCTAATCTATTTTTAACTGAAGACCACATTGTCCCTTCTCTGCAGATGGGGAAACAAAGGTTCCAGGTCCTTAAAGAGTCAACTGCAGCAAGAGCATCATGATGGACCAGATCAGTTGGGCACAGACCATGGGAGAGGCGCTATGCTGACTGCTTTACATGTTTAATCCTCGTAATGTGCAGGACTAGGTAACTTTTATCCTCAGTTACACAGATGAGGAAAGTGAGATGCAGGGAGGTTACGTTACTCGCCCAAGGCCACACAGTGAGTGGAGGAGTCAGGATTGAACCGAGGCAGCCTGGGTGCAGACTCTGCCCTTCACCAGCTGTGCTATACCCACACACCATCTACACTCACGAAATGGAATGAAAGCTCAGTCATGCCATTCCTGTTCCTTGACCTTCCTCCTGCCCACGGTGCCTCAGTCTGGCATCCGGGTTGACATCAGAAAGCCCATTGGGGTAGTCTCTTCCCTGACCCAAATCTGAGAAGGCAGTGGGTGACTGTAGACCAGACTCACGTGATTTCCATAGGTTTTCCTCTTTGCCCTTGGATGCCCCCTCCTCCTTTTTTTGCTCTCGATGACCATTCCTTAAGCAGCATCTATCTCTCCTTCCAAAATGCCCAGCAGCCTTCAGGCTGGTGGCCCATCAAGGACAGAAGGACACACAGAGGCAGGCTTCCCACTTGATGGGAAGCGTGGATGGGCGGGGCCTGTAGCTGCAGCCTGCCAATCAGCCTCCGGAGCAGGCTCTTTCAGCCTCAGGGAAAGGTCAGGATTGCAGCCCGGGGATTTCACTCTTAAGTGGATTTCAGAGGCACTGGCTGTCCTGCTCCTCTCTACACAGTGCGGTTAAGCTGCTGCCGCTTAGCCAGAGGCTGTGTTCCTGCCACATTGTGAGGTGGCTTCTGGAAATCATGCATGCAGTTAGCTAAACGGAACCACGCTGCTTTATTAATGGGAGCAAGCTCAAGAGAGAAACTGAATAAAAACAAGGCAAGCTTGCTTTCCACCCCTAATTCAAAAAGCCAGATAATTAAGTAGGCGGAGAAAGGAAGTGTCCCTTCTGATTCCAAGAGCTGTCTCTCTCTTTCCAGATTTTTCTTTATTAGGTGGCGGTGGAGTGTGTGCGTGTGGGAGGGGGAGTGTTGTGAGGGAAGTCCTAACAAAAGATTATTGCCCCGAACCCTTTGAATAAGCGATTTGTGTCACATGGAGACCATAATAATAACTAATTGTTTTCAGTTGTGCTCAGCTTCTCCAAACCCTCCACTCAGTTCCCTTCTGCAGGGCCCTCAGCAACTCCAGATCTCACCCCCTGCGGACTCACCCCCACCTGTCACTTTGGATTTCACCTCAAGGGGAGGGCTCATCAGCATGAACTCCATCCACCCCAGGCATCTTCCACTTGCAAATGCACCTGGAGAGCACTTCCCTCTCCTCTTCCCCTGGGGGTGGGGGTGGGGTTGGAGAGGGACCTCTTCACTTGCACAGCCATTGCTCTGGACCCACTGTGACTTTGCCTGTCAGTTGTCCTGGCGCTGCCATGCTCCTTCCCTCCAGTGTAACAAACGTGTCCCCATCACTGGCATTCTGCAGAAGTCTTCCCTCCACCTGCCTCTCAGGCAACCATCCCCCACCCTTGCCTGCTTCTTTCCACATCTTGACAGTCATCTCACCCCACTTGTCACAGCCACATGTCTCCACCGCCATCAGGGCCAATTCTGGCTTCTGCTCCCCTTCCCCCCTTCCCCCCTGCAGCTGGTCACCACTGACATCCAATCTTAAGACCTAGTGGCCCTCCCCATCCCTTTCCTATTTACAGGACAAGAGAGGAGGAGGGTGGCCAAGAGAGGAGGGTGGTGGTGAGGGTGTTCAGTTCTCTGACATTTCTTCAGAGAGAGAGAGAGCCTAGAGTTTCAAAGACATTTTTCATCTACCAAACTGCATATTTTTACTTAGATATTTAAAAAAGCAATCTCAAGTTCCGAAAGAAAATGTGGCATCGATGCCAAAGAAGATCACTAACACTCGGTATCAACAGGAATATATTTGAATTTAAAAGGCTAGCTGCATCTGACAGCAGTCTCAGCTGCGGCAAGTTGGAGCAGGAGCGGGGGTGGGGCGAGGAGTCCTCAGTGAACCTTTATGAAGACAGGGCACAGGTGATAAGTGGGGTGACCGTTCCCGTCATGTGACATGTAGGCAGTCAGGAAGGCTTCAAATCAAAACTTATATTTGGTTCCTGGCCGGTAGCTCAGTGGTTAGAGCGTCAGCCTGTGGACTGAAGGGTCATGGGTTCGATTCCCAGTCAAGGGCACATACTTGGGTGGCAGGCTCCCCAGCTCTGGTGGGACCTCGTAGGGGAGGCAACCAATCAATGTGTCTCCTGTTGATGTCTCTCTCTCCCCCTCCTCCCTCCCTTCCACTCTCTAGAAATCAATGGGGAAAAAAATATCCTCAGGTGAAGATTTAAAAAAAGTTATATTGAGGCTGAGTCTTAAAGGGCAGATAACTTACAGTGAAGAAAAGGAGTTTCACACTGAGGCAGAGGGAACAGCATTTGTAGGGCAGGGCATTTGGAAAAGAACAGACATTTTCAGGAGATGAGCTTGATACTTTGAAGCGTCTTATGGTCTCCTGGGATCCAGTGCTGTCCCCATCACTCCCCTGGCCGTGAAATACAGATAGCTGCAAGGAAAGGAGTGTATCTTAGCGTAATTTTTGTTAAGCTAAGGGCTAAGGGCTCACCCTGTGTATGAGGAACCGATTTCTCACATGCCTCCCGAACTCAAATGCGTGCTTTTCCACGGACAGAGGAAAGGCATTCGCAGTCAAGGTCATCTTCCCCCAGGGTTGTCAGCATCACTTCGAGGTGGGGGCAAAGCCTCACCACAGGAAGCTAAGGGCCCAGCAAGCTCCAGGGTCTTCATGGGAGTCATTTCTCCCAGGGTGCATCTCTGCCCTCACTAGCTATGGGAAGACAGGTGTCGTGTCTCATTCGTTACACAGTGGAGAGCAGCAAATAGTTGCTCAAAAATGCTGGTTAAGTACATGGGTAATGGGACCAGCACCCTGTGCTTTCTAAAGAACGGGGGGCTTCTATCCCCCCTCCTGTTTCCACGGTGTAAGTTCCTGATCATGGTGGAGCTTGTCAGTTCATGTTCTTCCTGGGTACTCAGGTAGAGAAGACCACTTTCTCATGGGTAGGTGGGCTGTGGGACCAGGTCTAGCCCATGAAGCAAGACACGAAGTGATGGGTGCTGCTCCCTGGGTGAGGTATTTGAGTGGGTAGACTACCTGCAAGCTCTCAGCAATGACCCTGGGATATAGATGGAGGAGCTTGGATCCCTGAATTGCCAGATGAAAGGGAGCCCCCCACTGGGAATATATAAGAATTAAGTGAACCTTATTGTGCTAAGGTTTTGCTTTGTTGCAGCCCTACCATGACTAATATATACATCCCACTTCCTCTCCGTAAGACAGAGAGGGAGTATGGATTACACATGAACTCAATGAAAACATTGCTCACTAACTATTTGATGGAGGTAATGAGAATAGGTATGCTTTACAACAGACAAGTCCATTGTCACCTTCACTTCTTTAGAGAAATATACAGAAGAAACTTCTCCACCTGCAGTTCCAGAAAAGGTGGAGTATCCCTTGACCATTTGGTAAGTTACTAAGATTGATTCTTGGTTGATCACTTTTTGCCTTGCTAACCAGGAAGCTCAGAGCCAAATATAACCTCATGGAATGCGTTTTGCCAGTTCCCCATTATCAATCACTTAGCTACTCAGTCCTCATTTCCCTGGGGTCCTGATTTATCTGTTCTCTCTTGTTGTGTTTTATATACTCTAATAAGTAAAACTTTCTTTTGTGAAGGGGAAAAGGAGATGAGGAAGGATGAGAACCAAACTTCTGGATGAACTCAGAACAAATGATCCACGAGCCATTGTCTCCTAACACTGAAGGCCGACAGGGTAAGTCAGCTCGAGTCGAACAATCGGTGTTGTTGATGTTGACTTACTCTTCTAGGTTTCATGACTATTAATTTTTCCTTTGCTTTATAACAGCGTAGCTCACAAAGTTAATGATGATAATTGCTGGTGCGGGATGCACAGGAAGATAGTTTGTGGCAGTGGGTGTAACTTGCAGTTAGTTTAAAATAGCTGTGCTCATGGATTCAGGGTCCCCAGATGACATTAATCACGGGCACTTCCTCCTTCTGAACTGTCATACACACTGATTCACAATTTTGATGGAAAACATTCCCTCCATAAAATCCCCCAGTTGAGGATACATTACCTGATGCAAAAATAGGAACATTTTAAAATCCCAGCTCACACCTCACCTTAGTTTTACCTTTGCTTTCCAGACCTGTGTAGATTCAGGGGCAATGCAACATCCTTTCTACATTTATCTGCCATCATATCTATCAATGATCTCCAACAGATGCACATAGACACATGTGAAAAAAATTCTTTATTAATTTCTCACATTTTATTACAAAATGTATGTTGCAAACAACTTGAATAACCTACTTGTGTGTTTTTTGTTGTTTTTTTAAACCCTTGGCTTCAAGAACTCAGGATCTCCCTATCTTTCATCAAGTATTGGGAAACACTGATTATTGGAGTCAATAGGTTCTCATTTTGCTATTTACTTTCTTCTCTCAAGCTCTGAAAAAAATGTCCTCTGTATAAATTAAACAAAAAAAATGTTGTAAATTCTATGTCATTACAGTCAACAGAATTATAATAATGCATCCAAAATGTGCGGCCACAAAATATCAGGTATATGTTTGAAAAAAAGAAAAAAAATGACATTCTAGCCTTGTTACAAGGATAATGGTCCCATATTTTTATTAACAGGTTAGCAAAACAAAATCCAATGGATTACAATATTTACATGTTATTTGAAAAATAAAGTAGTGATAAAAGCATGTCACAATTATTTTCTTTCTTTTTTTTTCTTTTTCTCTCTTTTCCTTTTTTTTCTTTTTTGTTTGTTTTTTGGTAACCATTACAAACACCCAATCCAGGTATGGAACTGTTTAATACATTTGAAATGAGGCCAATTAAAAACAAATATGGACACGAAATGAAATCTCTGTTTAGATAGTTTACACTTTCCCCATTTTCTGGTTTCCACATGATGGCCCTCATCCCTAAAAAAAAAAATTAAGATAAATGCCCTACAAAAAAAAAAGTCTTAACAGCAAGAAAATAAAGGAAGAACATGCTTTTCAAGTAAGCACTTATTCCACAAATGCAGTATCTTTCCATGGATTTTATTTGAAGCTATGTGGGACACTGTCATCTCTGCAATACCCTTCCCTCTCTTCCCTCCCCCTCCCTCAACCCTTCCAAGTAAAAAAAAAAACAAAAACAAAAAACATGAAAACCAAAGGACTCACACACACCCACACACATACGCACGAGAACACACACATCCAAGCACGCAAGCTCATAGGCTTCTAAAACCTAGGCTTCAAGGAAAGTTCTTTTCTACTCTTTGTAACAAAAACTCTCTGTTCACAATCAGAACATATTATAAATGTAGACTTAGATTTAGTCTAAGCCGCTCCCTCCTGAAAAAGCTAAGATGGGGAAACGGAGCAGCTGGCAGCTAGATTTAAACAAACAACAAAAAAGTAGTTCTCCAGGCTCCTTGTAGGATGGAAGTATTTCTTGTCCATTCTCACCAAAGGGATGGGATTCCCTTCCCCACCAAGTTAAATGAGAAACCGCCCCCCCCAAAAAACACACATTGCAAACAAAAGCAAAACACAGATTGGAAATCACACACAAAAGCCAGCCCATCCTAACAGAACGTATTTGTGTGAGACGGATAGTGTGATAATTTGACAAGCAACAAAAGGGTGAAGAGGACTTCCTCATCTGGCCCACAAGCTGCATAGCTGTGCCAAAAAGTTTGGTTCTTTAGTTAAATTAAAAAAAAAAGTTAACTTCTTTGTTATTTCCATGTTTAAAATAAAAACATTCCTATTCACAAAAAAACCCTAAATCTCCCTTGCCCCAAATTAAAACAATATCAACACACACACACAAAGAAAAACAATTTATATGAAAAACTGAATTGTGCTGTGTTTGTAACACTCAAGCTGATAGAAAATGAACATGTGGCAAACGGAACTCCACAGTCACCGTAAAATTAGCTTGTATGAGTCTACCAAAGTCTAAATCATAGTTGAACACTAATAAACAGCTTACCTGGAATAAAGGATGACAATTCACAAACAGTTATCTAGTAATTAAAGTCTGTTTCTTTTTTTTGTTTTGTTTTTTACTAAAATAATTAAAAAAATCACAGTATTTTAAGAAATAAAACCCACGTGGGGATTTTAAGCACAATTTGTGTTCCTTTCTTTAAAACTCTTTTTTTTTTCTCCATTCACCATCTTGCCCAGCAGTTCTCTCTACATTTAACCACGACGACGACAGGTAGTACTGACAAATGCAGAGAATTCCCTTGGTTAAGTTTGAGGTACTAGGAAACAGGTGACTGTTTTATGCAAAGCAGTTTTTTTGTTTTCTGTTTTTGTTTTTTTCCCAAAGCGGCTGCAGTTAGGTCTTGAAAAAAGCTTAAGGTATGAAAACTAGAAAAACGCACAGAAAGTTGTGCGTCAGAAAATGTTGTTCCCCTAAGAAGTCTTCTACTGTCATGGAGCTTGTTTCCACACACTGTCCAAGACCACCACAGGCCACGCCGTGCCCGGGAGGCGCTGTGCATCCCACCACGAGCGAAACTTCCACGCTGAAGATCCGGAGGGAAGGTGTAGTGATGGAAAAGGAGCCACATATTCCAACCATTTAAATAACTTTAATTTACATACTCACTCACACAGGTACCAGTGCTTTGAAAATAGATTGTTCAGTCCGAAAAAGCAGCTTTGTTCTGTCTTCTCTTTTCTGTCCCCCACGTCTCAGCCCGAGCTGGCCCTCCCACTTTGCGTCACGGTTCAAGTAAGGTTGTGATCCAGAATTCCACCCCACGCTTATTCCTTTTCGGCCTCTGCATTCTCCAGGAGAGATCTGTCGGCAGCGACTACGCAGATGGCTACTGTCTCGTTCTTTAGGGAAAAGTCTATCCCGAGCGCCTCGTCATCTTCCTTCTCCTCTATCGAGGGCATCTTAATACTGTCCTGCACGCTCTCTTGTAGGTGGATTTCTTCTCTGCTCACCTGCTGGGTGTCGTTCAACGCCCTGGGAGAACATGGATGGCAGAGACAGGTGAGTGTTTACTGTTTCCTAGTTAAATGAAAAAAGACTCACATCCTTAACAAAAGGCCTTGGGGTTTCCTTGGGACAAATGCCACGAAAGGATGACTAAATTGTGAGCGACTTATCCTTGCTACACGTTGTGCTTAGGTCAAGTATTGCTGGTACTTGAACCTACAAAAAGGCCCATGATCATGCTATGGTTTGATTACATCATGCTTTGTTTCCAGATGAATAATAATGGTTTTATGTTTCCCGCCTCTACTGGGAACAGAGAGAAGCTGTAAGTGGTCAGAGCAAGTATTGTCTGATGCTCAAACTCCTCAGCGGAACCCGGAAGCTAGGAGGTTGGCTGTGTTTATTAAGACTGAAAGAGCAGCCCGGTATTAAAGAGTTAATGGACAGGTCCAGAAACAAATCATAGAGATAAACAAAAAGCAAAAACCCCAAGACCGAACCCATGTCTTGGGAAGCTGAGTTATGGTCTCTGAAGTTTAGGTGCTTCAGGTCTCAGGGGTATTTTCTGCTAAAAGCACCAACTCGTAGGCCCCGTATCTGGTGGACTAAGGGGATAATTTTATATTCAAGGATCTTACAGGTGTTTTACAGGTGTGCTCCCACCTACCTGGGAGGCAGGCAGAAGCTGGCTCTGTCCCCGAGGCAGAGCACTGAAGGCACCAAGAGGTGCGTGGGAATGTTCCAGGCCACTCAGGGAATGAGTCATCAGAGGCAGGAACAGAAGCCAGATCTTTTGACCCCGGTCCACGCTCTATCAGAGAACGCCACGCTAATGAGAGCTGAAGGGACACTGGCTGGAGAAAGCGCGACACTTGTACGCGAGGGCTTGAGTGGGATTTGTCATTTGACTTGTGTCTGGGTGACCATTTACAACACCAACCGAAAAGGAGACACTAGTTCCTGACATCTGTCTCTCCTCCCAGGCCCGGGTATGTGACACAGAGGGGTCCGGGTGTTGGCAGGGGAACAAAACCACCACCACGAAGAACCTGATCGCCCTATCACCTCCCTCTGGGCCAAGGCGTCGGGGGATGGCTCAACTTACATGCCGTGTCTCAGGACGTGCCGCTCCCACTCGGAGCCCTGGGAAAACGCCCGCCCGCAAAATTCACACGGAAAGCGCTTCTGAGCGTTCATGGCAGCCCCGTGGTCAGCAAACCTCATCAGATCTGTAAGGAGAAAGCGGAGCAAGCGTTACCCGAGTGCTGCGGGAGGCGGCGGGAGAGGTAAGCCAGCGTTTAGGAGGAGACCTCCTCCCCTCCCTCGTCACATCATTTGTGAGAGCGAGTTCCAGATCCCCTGTCCTTCCTCCCACCGGCTTTTCACCGAGGGCACTTCTGGAACGGCTCTCAAGAACCGTCCCTGGCTCCCAGGCCCCACACGTGCCCGTCCCCACCTCTCCAGCTGCTTCTGTCACAAACAACCTGGGTCATTCCCACGGCGTCTGAGCAGGTTGTCTATTCAATCTCCCCCACCCGTGATGGTCTAGCAGTGCCTCACCGTTTAGCACTATTCATTTTCTACTTGACACGAGTTTGCTCACTAAAAAGAATATAGGCTCCCGAAAGCATGGACCAGGTTACGCGCAGACCCGGGGGTTTCAATGCCTTCCAGTGGGAACGCCGTCCTGACTCCCGACGGCGGTCACCTGTCACGGATGTCACCATCCACACCTCACGGGGCTCCGAGCACCGAATGCCTGAAGGTGTGTGCTGGACAACGGGAGGCCGGCGTGTGAAAGCAGGCGTGACCTCGGCTAACGAGGGAGCCTGGCCAGCTGCCCGGCCCTTACTCCTCAAGCGGTGAAATCCGGGAGGCGGGGACATGCGGACATTTCTGGACAGGTCTGTTGTAGACATCAAACGTGGACTGTCATTGTTTTTTTCTCCTCTGTGGCGCTGGGCACATGGTAGGGTCTGATAAGCGTGGGTTGGGCAGCTAATTGTTTACAGGCCACTCCTCCTGGCAACCTCTACGACTGGAGCTTCTGTGACCTTTGTGGGATCTGAGTCCCAGCCCATGTGTCTTTCATGACACCACAGTAGGCCAAATTCTCCCGGGGGCTAGCACCATAGGACGAGCACAGTTCTGCAGCCTCGCGGCAGAGGAGGGCAGGACTGACCATCTCCCCAGATCTGATCCCGAGGTGCCTGTCCGTACAAGACGTTACAGCAGTGGTTCTCAACCTTCCCAATGCCGCAACCCTTTAATACAGTTCCTCATGTTGTGGTGACCCCCAACCATAAAATTATTTTCGTTGCTACTTCATAACTGTAATTTTGCTACTGTGATGAATCGTCATGTAAATATCTGATATGCAGGATGTATTTTCATTGTTACAAATGAACATAATTTAAAGCATAGTGATTAATCACAAAAACAATATGTAATTATATATGTGTTTTCCGATGGTCTTAGGCGACCCCCGTGAAAGGGTCGTTCGACCCCCAAAGGGGTCGTGACCCACAGGTTGAGAACCGCTGCGTTACAGGGAGACGTCTCCTGGTTGAACGCTCCGAGCTCATCAAACTGTAGGATGACGCTCACAGGGTAGGTATCTCCGTGCTGCCTTAATCCTCAGCACACAAAGCTATGTGAATAGGGCCAGTTTGAACAAAAGATGAAACATTTTTCTCACAAATTAAGAAGATCACCACACCAGCCATTAAAAATAATTGCACAGACTATCTCCCTTGATTCTTTTCGCTGGAAATGAGACAGCACCATCTGCTCGGCGCATTAATTTCTTAGCAGGGATTATCTTGGGCAAGAAATCAACAGAATGCCTTCCTGACTCCTCCCAACTGCATAATGAGAGGGGGTGGGGTGGAGCCTGCCTGGCTTAATTTTGGTTTCTTCCTGCCTGGTTTCTTCTCTTTCAATTTCCCTCCGAGCTTTCTAGGCGGCACCTGCAGGGTGGCCAGCCAGTCCCCTCTCCAGTTCTGGTGTTGGAAAAGGACGCTGGGAATGGGGTACCTATAAAGACGAGGGCCCCCTGAACGAGGGCCTGATGCAAGTCCGCCCTGCCAACGAGGGGCAAGCTCCTGGCTCACGCGCCCTTTACCCTGAGGAACATGAAACCACTCGTCTATTCTTTCCAAGGCTCCTCTGGCTCAGCCTCCGAGGAGGCCAATCATTACCTGTCACACGGCAAACAGCTCTCCATCCGCTTGAGCTGCCGCGCCAGAGCCACCACCCACTCTCCGCTCCTAGGAGACAGGCCGGCTGGCAAACACCCCCGGGCTATTGTGTGTCCTTTCTTCTCGCTGGCAGGAACCCACCTCCATGGTGGGAAATCGATTAGAAGGAGACGACACAAACTTGGGAGGGACAGGAAGGTTTAGGCTGATGATTTCCATGAGTAGTCCTGGAAGTCGCTCCTGTACATCCGCCACCCAGGGGGAGAGACAGACAAGCTTCTCCACCCCGAGACTTTCCCCATGTGGTTAAGGCTCATGAATGAGAGGCTACCCTCCAGTGAGACGCGATCGGACGCGACCACGCTCTTTCCAGTCCAACCGAGAGGGTCTGAAGCTCCTGTGAGGGGGCGGCCACGCAGCGCAAACGGGAAATCTGCCTGGTGCCCACACATCCAACTGCCCCCTTTTCCCCTTCTACTTGTCTGTGCTTTTACTTTGGAGGAGTCACCGGGGAGGCCTCACAGGGGCTCTTGCCTCTGTCATGCTTATCACCTCTAAATTCACATGTGCTCGCTTTAAAGACTCAGAAGTCGTAGGACCCGGGGGAGGGAGGGCGGGGCCCAGGAGCCCCTCTGCCCTCTGTCAGAGGAGCCCTTTCCAGGGAACTCAGGTGGCAGCGCACTGATCCCAAGGAATCCGTCACCAAGAACATATACATGGAATGTTGAGCTTCTCAGATCACAGCCATTGTCCATGCAAGAGGCGAGGAGCCTGGCCCCTACTAACTGATGCTGTACCGTCACAAGGGTAATCAACCTACCCGGTGCGGATGCTTCCTCTACCATTTATTCTTCAGGTCACCATGGGCATCCTGGCACACCCTAGCTCGCAGTCCCTGCTGCCGTCCTAGCCACAGGGGGCTAAGGTGGGCTCCCACTTTCCAAACCTGTGGCCTCCTGCCACAGCGGCATAGTGGGGTGGGGGTGGGAGCAGGTCAGGAAAAAAACCGGGAGAACCTCAGAGGGAAATCGTCACCAAATACTCTTCCTCAGGCTTGCAGGTTGACCAAAGAGGAAAAAACAAAGCTATTTTTGTAAAAGTGTACCTTAGAGTGAGACCCTAATGGCCACAGAATTGACCGAATTCAGGGTCAAGTTCCCTTCAGTGAACAAGCCACTGTCCACAGGGTTGGGGAACAGGACGTCATGTAAAAGGGATCTTGCCTTTGGAGCCAAAAGACGAAATTCGACCTCTAGTGTTGTTTTTTTTAAACTTTGCATGAACTCTTACATTTCCTGGGCCTTTATTTCCCCGTTTGTAAAATAACAATACACCTACATGAGGGTTATCATTTATTAGGTGGTTACTACGTTTCAAGGACTGGTTGGTGTTATCTCACGGAAGCTTTACACAACCCTAGGAGGTAGGTGATATTATTACTGATGATGAATGCACAGGAGCTCCCCAGTCATATAGCTGTATTACCCAGTCAAACAGCTACTAGCAGAACTAAAGCCAGACCCAGGTAGGCCAACCGCAGACCCCTCTCCAAGGCAACTAGAAACCACCAGCACTGGGCCTGGCACATGATGATGCTCCGCAGTGGCAACTAACACCACCCCTCTCAGCACTTCGGTGACATCTATGGTCTAGTTCTCAGGCTTGGTACCCGTGTGACTCTGGTAAGTCTGCAGGAACTAAAGTAACAGATTTCAACCTAGCTGCTCACATGCACCATCTTGGGATTTCCACACTATTCTGCGTTGATCGATGTCGAGAACAACTCTAAATCACATACATGTCTGTCTGTAATTACATATACTTTCAACAAGCTTCATTTTGAAGATAATTATAGACTAAAAAGAAGTTGGAAAAATAGTACAAAAATTCCATGAGACCTTCCCTAGTGTCTCCTGTAAACACATGACTAAATGAAAACTACTGGTTTTGTCAAAACCAACGGCAAGGAGGTTAAGGGGAGGCCATGCTGAGGACTGAGGGGGGCAGGATTCATCTCACAGCCTCGGCAGGTGAGCCCCGCAGCAGCCATTGCAAATCAGCGTCCCATTGGGAGTTCACTGACATTCCCCGAGAGCTCTGGTGTCATCTGTCTTGCCATTGGCCAGTCCTTAGTCCTTATACTAAGACCCCTTCTCCTTGTTAAAAACAAATCACCACTCTACATTGTTAATAAACACATCAACCGCAGCGAGAGAGAAAATGCCTGTTTCCCGTGGAGTTTCTACAGCTGGGGATAGTTTACAGACACGGCCCCTGACAGGTTTCTCGAGTCGGTCAGTTCTGCTCCTGAACTAAGGGATCGTTCCTTCTGCTACTCCTACAGCACCCCGTCTCCCCATCTCCCCGTCTCCCCACGGACGCGCTGGCTGCCACCGGGGCCCGCAGGGCGGGCGAGACTCACCTCTGTCCTCGGCCTTGCCCACGTCCTCCTCCTTGTCCTCGTCCTCGCTGCTGGAGCTCTCCAGCTTGCCCTTCATCTGCTCCAGCTGGTCCAGGTTGACCCGTCCGACCAGCTCGAAGTTCCGGCTCACCTGAAAGAGGCCAAGCGCACGATGGGAGAGGCCGCGGGCGGGTGGGGGACATCTCTCCAGCACCCTTGCCCCGCCTGTCTTTGGAACCAGGACCGAACGACACCAGCGCCGAGGCGGCCCTCTTCTCCCCGGAGACGCTGTTTCTGCGGTGGGTGCTCTCACATCCCACCATGTTCAATGGGACTGTCAGCATCGGGCCCTCCTTACTGAACTTGGTAAGAGAAAGTGAGCTACCGTCGGCCAGAAAGCACAAGTCCCATGAAGCTTGGGGAGTGGAGGCGGTGGCCAGCCAACAGTTTTCTGTTTCTTTGTTAATCCTCACCCGAGGATATTTTTTCCAGTGATTTTCAGACAGAGTGGAAGGGAGGGTATAGTCGGGGGTGGGGGGGGGGGGAGAGGAGCATTAAAGGGAGAGAGACACATATTGATTAGTTGCCTCCCGCCCTGCCAGGGATCAAATCCAAGACCCTTCTGTCCTCTGGCCGACGCTCTAACCAGTGAGCACCCGGCCAGGGCTGGGAAACCCTTTTTAGTTGAATTCAAAGCAGTGACTTTTGTAAACAACCCAGTCCTCCTAGAGGCGAAGAGGCTCTAAGTATCCTGAGAACCGGCGGTCCTGCCACCTGCAGGGCTGCAGGCTGTCCCAGTGCAGGCCCGGCGACAGTGACTTGATTCCTAACTCACTGACCAGGAGCCACAGGTTAGCACAGGACTCAGGTCAACACACAGCCATGGGCTACCCCTGTGGCAGGCGCTGGGCTCCCCCGTTGGAGGGAGGGACTGGGGCAGGATCCAGAGAGAAGGAGACCCAGTCTGGCCCCCAGAGGCTCACAGTGTACCAGGTAGTTGGGGAGGGAAGACAGACATCATTCACTAGATCCAAGGCAGACGCCCATAGCTGCTACACAGAGAGGGTAAGAAGGACGAGTAGAGGGAGGATTTACAAGACAATCCCAAATGTGTCCCCTGGACCAGACTGGGAACACAGATCCCCTGAGCACCAGATGCCGGGCAGATGGGAACATCACCATCAACTGTGACAAACGTGAGAGAGACTCGCAGTATCAGGGCCAACGCACAGTCCTCTGACAGGCTGGACATCGTCCCGACCACGTTCTGTAAGAGGGAGCATTTAAGAGGAGGAAGAACCCTCGGGATAAAAGCTCTTTTGAAACCAGAGGAACAATACATGGACCTAAAACAACGAGGAACCGGGAAAGCAGTCACTTTGAAAACAACGAGACACGAGGGTGGAAGAGAGGTCTAAGTCCGTCTCAATGCTCAACACTTGAGGACGGCAAGTTGTTCTTCTCACTAAAAAAGTTGTAAAAATTAACAGAACTAAAGTGAGGAGGAGGAGGAGGAGGAGGAGGAGGAGGAAGCTGGACTCAGAATCTTGATTTCTCCAATGGTCTCAAAGGCACTTTTGCTTGTGGCACCTTCCTAACCAGGGGTTTATCCACCAGGCCTCACTCCCACAGGCCTATGTGAAGTTTTACTAATTCATTTTTACAACATGAAGCGAGAGGGGGTAGGGCACAGGAGCAAGAGCTCTGAAGTCAGACCTAAATTCAAGTCCAGGGTTTGCCGTTACTCAGACTCTGGGCAAGTTATTCAACATACATGTCCTCATTTATAAAAGGGGGGTCAGCACACTACCCGAAACACACAGTTCCCCCAAATGTCGCTTCCTGCCCCTTGCAGGGAATGTGGTCTTTTCCAATTTTGGCTTTTGGAAAAGGCGTATGATAAGCATTGTAAATGCATATTCATGAAGTTATGTTTAGCCACAAAGTCTGTATTTTAGCCCAATAGCATTTATGACAAATATCTGAATAGAAGTTTGCTAGGTTGCCAGTTTTTAAGGAAAAGGAGGCAAGGCTCCAATCTGCCTAATTTTGAACTATGTGTAAAGAAACATCTTTTAAATGACTAGTAGTTAAAAGGCAGCCTTTTCTGGCCACCTTCAGCCAGGCCACCTGTGTGTGTAAGGGACATGAGGGGTGGCAAGATGCCAAGAAACAAAAATAACGAAACCGAGAATGGCCAAAAGGAAATCCCGTATTGTTTAATCCAGGAAGTCTTCATTGATTCCTTCATTCACTGGACAAGGACTTCCTGAGGGCTACTGTGTGTCAGGCCCTGCACCAGGTACCAGAGCCCTGCTTCCCAAGGGCTCCGGTGACAGACCTGTCACCAAACTGAATGGTCCTTTTTGCTTTCCCGCCTCCCTCTTTCTTTTCCCTTCACTGGGAAACTGTTAACATTTTGGATTCTGCACGATTTTGAAAAAGTACAAGACATTTTCCTGGTCTGATATTCATCTGAGGCTGCCCCAGGATTCAGCTGTCCTGAAGATTTCTAAAATCTCTCCTAGGCAATTAAAAGATTTAAAAGGAAAAACATTTTTGTTATGTAATTACAAGATTTTTTAAAAAACAAAAACTCTTGATCGTGTTGGGGCTCTAACTCTAAGTCCCCCAGTCAGCCAGCCAATATTCATCTTTACTGCACAAGACTCCTCGCTGCATTTCTGAGCCCATCTCTCACCTGGATTAATGCCATGTCCTCCCTCCGTCATCCATTCTCACTCCTCTTGCATCTAATCTCTGGTGCCTTCTGAGTGATTTTTAAAAAATTTAAATCTGTTCATGTCAGTCTCCGCTTGCCCTGAGGATAAAATCCTCATTTCTTACTGAGACTTGTGTGGCGGGCGATCAGTGTACCATGGCCCGCCCTCTCCCGGCTGCCTCCCCTTTGCTCCCAAGGCCCTGAACTTGCTGAGCTTCCTGGGATCTGTCACGCTCTTGACCCTGTGCCTCCCCTCCCCCCGTGCACGTGCCATTTCCCGTTTGGAATTTCAGCCTGTCTCCTTCACGCGGAGACTTCTGTCTTCCAGCCTCGCTTCAGTGTCGAGCTCCTCCTTGGTTAAATACCCTTGGCTCTTCACTCCCACAGCACCCTACACTCGCCTTTGGTAATTCATCCCCCTCAGTAATTAATTGTTTATGGCCTTCACACTCCCCCGCTCCGCCTCCCACCCAAACTGCTAACTCCTGGGGAACCTCTGCCTCCGACTCCCAGCGGGATCTCACCGGCCAGGCCTGGCATACATATCCTCGGTATCAGTGGCATTCTTAATCACTATATAACGTTTCATTAGGGGATATGTTATAGTTTACTGTTCCCATGTGAGTTTACCTTTGGCTTTTCTGGCTTGTCACTATTAAAAATGCAGTAATAGACCTTATGGTATGTAATCCTTTCTTTCCTGTTTAGCTTTAATTTTATAGGCTAAATTTGCAGAGGCGAAATCACAGGGTCAAAAATCAAAGAGTTTGGACTTTATTGAAATTCCAATATATGTGTAAGTTGGTTTCCGGAATGAGCATCCACGTCCCTTCTGGACCAGAGACTGGAGGGTATCTGACCGCCTTTCTAACGGTACGGAGGACAAATGAGGGAAAGCCACCTTTTCCTCTGGAGATGATGGTAATTTATTACCTGTTTTCCAAAAGGCCCACAACGGAGGGAGAAAAAGAAGCGTAAGAGTTCACGATTTAGGAGCCTTTTGAAGGCAAAAGCCACACATGGCTTTGAAGGGTGGATTGTTCAAATACATAATCACTCGGACTATAAAACTATATGCAGCCCTGGCCAGTGTGGCTCAGTTGGTTGGAGCATCGTCCCATACACCAAAGCGTGGTGGGTTCAATTCCCGGTCAGGGCACATAGCCACGCTGCAGGTTCAATTCTGGATGGGGCGTGTACTGGAGGCAACCAATCTCTCTCTCTCTCTCTCTCTCTCTCTCTCTCTCTCTCTCTCTCTCTCTCATCAATGAAAGGCATATCCTCAGGTGAGGGTTAAACAAAACTACATGCAGATCCTTACATCCTGTGACAGTTATTTGTGGATGCCCCAGACCCCCAAGTCCCCTGTGAAGGCCACTAACCCAGAGTCGTGGTGAAGTCTGCCATCCAACAGGAACGTGAGATAAGGAGCACTGACCAGCAAATGCTTTCCCCTGAAAGTTAACTTGCACCGATGACCCTGCCAACCCCTTCCACGCTCGCGCTGAGCGTCCAAGCGTCACAACCACATTTGTCCCTGCTTGTTGGTCTTTAGCCTCTCGGCCGACGGCTTAGGTCCGCCCCCAGCATAGGAAAGGAATTCCGTACTGAGGCTTACTTCCCAGGGAGAGGCACCCCGTGATGTACAAATATCACCAAGTTGAGCATTTTCATAGGGTGCTAGGTGGGCAAACCCAGTCTTACAGGGAAAACTGATAAACACCTGTTAACGGAAAAGCGCAACTGGACACCCGTCTGCAGATCACTTAGCAGACGCGAAGTGGGGCAGCCGGTGGCGAGGAAAAATCCGCCTAACGTTCCCAGAGTTTCCTCCCGCTGACGCAACGTTTGTCCCTTCAGAAAGGCACACCCAGCCAGGGTGTTCGCATCACCGAACACTCCATGTCCGTGTTAAGCAGGAAGGCCAAAGGGAACCTTTTATTTCCAGAGAATGTGACACCGGAGAACACGGGAAAACTGCCTCCCCCATCCCAAGCCGAGGACGTGTCGTGCGCGCAGATTTCCAAGGACTCGCGGGCAGGCTGGCCGTCTTCGGGGAGGGCCAGGTGGGCACGTGTCTTAGGCTTTCAGGGCCCCCCAGTCTCTGTCGCAACTACGCGACTGCTGTGCTAAACACCGAAATCCAAATTTTATGTCATTTCACATGTCACGAAATACTACTCTTGATTTTTTTCCAGCCATTTAAAATGTCAAAACCCCTCTTAGCTGGCAGGCCACATAAAACCAGGTGGCGGCCGGATTTGGTCCAGGGCCAGAGTCTGTCACCCTGATTACAAGAGCCGGGGGTTTAGCCAGCAGACCACGGCGCCACCTGAGACGTCAGAATGGGGGGGAGGGAGAGAAAGCAGTGGGAGAAAGCCTCAGCAGGGCAGTGTCTCCCCAGTTCCTCACAGGAAGATGGCCAGAGG